CGGGTATGTTAAGGAAGCATACAAATCATTTCTCGGGAAATTTAGACTTTTTAAAGAAAATTAAGATTAATAATTCATCAAAGTCTCCGATAAAACATAAACTATTATTAACTATTACATAAAGACACGGAGTGTCCGAGGCCAAGTAGTGCACCACCTCGACGTCATCACGTGACCGCTATTTACATGCCGTTTTGGCCAAATTCTCGTTACACAACATGATCGATTCTCAAGTTACTTGTTGAACAGTTATGACGTCATTGGTCGGAGATTATAATTCAAGTGACAGATACAGCATAACAAAATAAAAACATTTTATTTTTGTTAATATTTGCAAATTTCTATTCATTTTAAGGAGTCAAATTATATCTCTAAATAGCAATATTAGGAAAACTTGTGTTCTAAACTTGACGTCATCTCGCCTACTATGACGTCATATTGTATCACTGATTTAGTCAAGTCAGATTATCTTAGTGCTTCCTTAACACACCTGCGAACTTTTGCTGATTTTTAAAACGAAGGAGGATTGTACAAAATTGTCTTTTTCACCTAACTTGTTTCAACATTCACCGATGGTATATTTATAAGACTTTACTGCTTATCTGAATCAATATTACGGACAGGTGTTAACAATAAGCGACGTGCAACTTACAATTATATGTTTCATTTGACAAGTAAGAATTGGGACATGGGTTTGATGAGGCTGTGCAGCTCCTATTTCCAGAAGGTTGTAGTGTTTCTCCACCAGTATTCCATTCGGTACAGAAGCCACCTATCATAAAAAAGTCAATTCCACAACAAGCCATACGTTGTTAAGGTCATAAATCTTCATTCTACCGGTATATATAAATACTAAAATTGTATTCTTGTATATATTTTAACTGTATTTGAAAAGAATAACATTAAAATGAGATTCAACACATCATGAAAATGTCTAATCAAAACTTTACCATGAGACATTATTGGGAAGGCACACAAATCCACATAGACATCCTCATCTTCAGTGGGTACACAATGGTACTCGAGACTTTCAAATTCAGAGCAGTTTTGTTGAATAGTCCCGCATCCTTTTAATGTTTTAGCTGTTGTCCATTCAGTCTCGTTTTTCGGACAGTGTAAGACATTTTTAACTGACTGTGTTGATGCAGTACATTGAAGAAATGTATCTACGATCTGAGAAAAATATATTTCTACTAATTATATAATGGTGTTATTATTTGGATGTACTTCGCCGAAATAGTATTCAGGGTTTGACACTTGATGCACGAACAAAAATCGACACTATGTGTCAAACCCTGCCTACAATTTCGGCAGAGTACATCCAAATAATAACACTATCATAATTATTATGCTGACTGTTGTTTGTTTATGACAATTTCATAAAATTTCCATCCCAAACCCGTTTACAGACATTAAATCTGAATAAAAATTTTCTTAAACCCTCTTTAATCAAGCGTTATATCAAAACGCGTTTTAATGACTCCGAAGTACCAATTCAGGTTACGTTGCAATTTCGGTTATTGAAAAATTCCATTATTCGTTAGAGAATTTATCATCAAGATCTTTGTAATGATATTAGTCTTTTGGAAAGAATCTTCATTTATTTCTTGTTCTGTTTCAAATGTTTGAAAACTACGTTTATATACATGTACTTAAAAATGCATTGCATAAGATAACGGTGGTTCTGGCGTAATCGAGTAGCATGTTGTACTGATAAAATTGTGAGTTCGATCCCCAGCGTGGCTGAAACCTTTTTTTTTTTTTAAAAAAGACAGTCGTACACTATTTATATAATAGCGTTGTGCTTTGCATGCACTATGCCTAAATAGTAGTCAGGGTTTGACACATGGTGCAAGAGCATTTCATGCATTAGGTATAATGTACAGAAAGTTTCGGAGAATTTCAGTTGAGTGAAAGGGGAAAAAATTGCAAGAAATTATTTTAGAAAAATCATTTTGTTTATTTTTTTCTTTAAGTGTAAAATATTTGAAACTAAGTTTATATATATTAAAACACAGAGTTTTAGATAACGGCGTCTATGGCGTAATCGGTAGCGCGTCGGACTGACAATTTCAGGGTCGTGTGTTCGATCCCTGGGTGTGCGCTGTCAGATTTTCTTCAGAAATAGAAGCCGTGCACTATTTCGGCATAGTATGCTTACGCTATATAAATCCTTAGAACACTATGCGAAAATAGTTGGATATTGATTATATAGAGACAAACTGACAGGAAGCATAATAATTCGGCACAGCATGTTTACCCTATATAAATCTTTAGACTACGATGCGAAAATAGTTGGGTATTGATTATGGAGACAAACTCAAAGGAAGCATAATAATAGCAAATATCACACATATTTAGATATAAAAAAAAACAAACAATTTAAAACAATATGTTAAGTTGTAACTGATCTGGAAATAAAACACAATACCTTGAAGCACAAGACACATGTTACCAACCCAAACAACAAATGCATTTACTAAGTCTGGATTCTTACACTAAAAGAAAAAAAATAGCACCCATTTATCATAAGATAGTAGGATTATTAACTTCAACCAGATGGGGATTTTCGTCTGATCATAATAACCGGAAAGAATTTTGTATAAGACTAAAATTATGTGCCTAAGATTATTCTATGCATTTCCTGTATTTTGTTAATAAGAAGTGTTTCAATATCGCCTAAATAAAGAAAGTGTGTCAAACAACAATTATCTCTGACAATATCCAGTATCATGTCAACAATTATCTGTCTATTTGACTTTGAAATCATGTATAGTTTGGAACCAATATTTTTATGGAGACTTTATACAACTGCAAACTGTAGTATCTTTAAGAGAGTAGACACCTTTCCCCTTTCTTTACCTTAGGCACGTCTAATGGACCTTAGACTTGTTATTTCAAATTATCACATAAAATTACTCTGTAGTTTGTGTTGAAAGATGAGGTAGGGAAGACAATCTCGACAATTTTTTTAAATTGTTAGCCGTCACTAATGTAACTATTTTGTGGTGAAATAACGTTCGCCGTTATATCTTTGAGTCATGCCTTTCAGCTCATGATTTTACAAAGTTTCTATGACATTGACTTGTACAACCTTGTATCTGCATAAGCTCACTGAAACTTCTCTTGAAATTAAACCAGATTATCACTTACAACACTGGGCAAATCTCCTTATTAACATGATATGATGACTAAAAGTATCCAATAATTCTCAAATGAAAAGTATGTTTAAATCGTGTCGTGGAACGTTTTACTTCCTCACCATCAGAATCACAAGGTTAACTAGTGCTAATTGTAACGGGAACCGTTACAGATGTTCCCCAAACGCCCCCCCCCCTCATCCCTTATGATGCCCCATTCCCTACAAGCTTCATTAAATTAGACAATACTTTTGTAATATAGATGGACACTTTATTTTTAAGGGCATCTCATTGGAAAACTACTCCGATATAGCCATATGGGTATTAGCCAATCAAATTTCAGCGCATGTTTTCTACATTTTTCACATTAATTTTCTTATAGTGTCTCACAATACATACATTTGTCTTAAATATCAAAAAAAAATTCATTGAAAAATAATGTAACCCTTTAAGTATTAGCCAATCAGAATTCAGCATACGCGCATGCATGGCTTGCATTCAATTTTGATGGTATCATGATGTAGGAGCTCTATGTGCCTATCCATGTTGTAAATTTCATCCTGTTTTGTTGAAAACCAAAGGAGTTATAGACATTTAAAGTTTCAGCCAATCAGATTGTAGAACACCTGCATGCGCGTGTTTTCAAGAAATTTCCTATATAATATGCTGTAGCACCTTATAATATATATTTATATTCTAAATTTCAACGTATTTTGTCAAAAAACCAGGAAATCGTTGAAATTTTTGTATCAGCCAATCAGAAGAGAGCGCACGTGCATGCGCGTGAGTTCACGCAAAATTGACCATGTTGCCTTGTCTAGACTACTAATATATCTTTATACTTTGAGTTTCAAAGCAATTCATCAAGAAATATAAAAGTTACGGCTTCAGGAAGTATATCAGTCATTTCACTCATTGCACGCGCGCGCACGTGCATGCATGTGCGAGCAAAATGACCTTCGTTCCGAACACCTACACAACATGCCTATTAACCCTAAAAAGGTTTCATGTCAATCGGATGAGTGGTTCTATGAGAACACTCTCGGACAAAAAAGCACCGGAGAAGAAAGTAGAAAAAAAGAATAATAATAATAATAAGAAGAAGAAGAAGAAGAAACAGAGTAAAAACAATATGTTCCCAAACTTCGTTTGGGGAACATAATAATGACCTTTGATCTGGTCCTGGACCAATCAGCAATGGAGGACTTAAGAGTGTGTATGAAAGGCTCAACATTTTTTGTCAGACAAAGTAAATGTTGACTTTTTGGCCTCCGTCTTCTGTCACCTAAATTGTTTTTGCGACCCCTCCCCATCCTCAGCGCGGGACACTTTTTGCAGAAAAAAATTTGGTGGCTTTGTTTCTGACTATGAAATGTGCATCTCGCCAATTTATCTTTCAACTTTCCTGGATCTCCGACAGTCAGCCATTTTTCAAATGTAAAATGATGGTATGATATAAATTAAGGTTAACATTTATTCTTGAAAATGTCACCGAATATAAAGCTATAAAGTTTACAAGGTTCATGTAGATTGATACACATTAAACATGATTAAGAAAGCTTGCCTGTATAAAAATTTAAGATGGTGTTCCTCATGTTATAGAATCTTGTTGAAGAAGTAAAATACGTTATTGAACATGTTGAATGTGCATTAGATATTTAAAATACTGTCGTAAAATAAGGAAACATTTTAGTTATTTAAGTGCATTCAAGTACTTCACATTCAATTAATTAAATGAATCATCAATTTACGTCAAATGCGTCTGTTATTTAAAATCTAGAATCTTATTCAAATAATTCAACAAAGAACAACGCTGATTGTGTATTTAGTTCATTTATCAAGAACTTATTAAATTACACAAAGTCTAAGAATGAAGAAAATCGCTATTAATATAAGCATATTCCCAATAAACCTCAAAGTGCAAGCGCATACACTAGACTGTTTAAGCTGAAATACGGAATATCAATTGCTTAATTCATGTATATTCTTATATGTGCTGGGTGTTGATTTTGGTCTGAAAATATTTTTGTAATTGATTACGATGTAGAGGCGAAGAGGAATTTTTTTGCTATTTTACGCATTTTCGGTAGAATTAAGATTACTTCTCAAACAGAACAGTCTAGCTCCCAGAACTTTTAAGGTAAGGGACGTAAATTTCTTTTAATGTATCAATTTTTATAATCAAAATCAGCTGGATGCCCTTGCACTAACGTCAGTTTTCTACATTCAGCTTAAAATTCTATTTTTATACCTGTCACGGGACACACATACGATACATGCGACCTAACTGGTACGACACAAACCTATTCATCATTAGTAAGTACATGTATACTATTTTTCCTACAATTACATATTTACTATTGTTGCAGTGATTTTTAAATTTAATACATATTAAAAAATTAAGAAAACATTTCCCATTGCCTTTGTTAGCTGAGTTGACTGATAATGGGTCTCAAGATACCCAGCTGATGAAAGCAATTTAATCTTATCATAATTCATAGCTGGCATTAATTTACGTTCAATTATACTAACATTTTGGTCGAAATCTTATCATATTCAAAGGATAAAAGGAGGAAAAAGGAAAACAATATTCATACATTTTCGAATTTGCGAGGTGGGTTTTATAAATAGATATAGACTTCCTGACATGGAATAATAACGTATATTCAACACAGTTTTATATCAAATGACATTAGGCATTGTTTTAAATTTTTTTTTTTGAAAAAGTTAAGCAGGATAACAATTAAAATAAAATTTTGAGAAAAAAATGCTACAAAGGTTTTACATAATATTCTTCTTTTTTTTCAAATTCAAATTCATTTAAACATGCACATAATATCATTACATTTAGCTTTCCGAATATATATATATATATATATATATATATATATATATATATATATATATATATATATATATATATATATATATATATGTTTGTTACTAATTAGAACAATAAGACACTTATAATTACCTTATCTCTCCTGCAAAAAGATAATTCATGAGTATTTGTCTTGTGACTATAATTATATAAATAACTGTGAAATCTATAAATGGGAAAGGGAATTTTTATTGTAAAGAGGATTTTATAAATACTTCCTGCTCAGGATTATAAATATTTATCATTGACGATTTTTAATAGGAACCCCGTCAATTAAGGAGAAAATAATCCATAGTTACCGTTCATTAAATCATAAACAAAATGGATGTTTTTGAACATCTTAAATGTAATTTTAATATTTTATATTCTTTACATAGTACGTGATATCAAAGATTCTTGTTGGAGAAATATAATATTGAATGTCCCTTAGATACATAAACCAATATCTAGAATTAAACAAAAATTCGTCTTATAAGTGCATTTATGTAAAATTCACTATTAGTAAATTGACTGAAGCATCATCTACTGTCGAAAATGCGATTTGTATTTTAAATTCAAGCATATTAAAGAACCGCCCAATGTTGTGAGCTGCTTGATAAATTGATAAAGCTCTTTCATTGGCCTACTGTTTAATCGTATCCAGCGCGATTTTCAGTAAATTATTTTGTAAATGCAGAATCGAATTAAAAGGATAACAATCTTTCAGATAAGAAATTGTAAATTCTAAAGAGGTGAAGACTTTTGTGGATAAGATATTGATATAGTGCTTATATCCAATAAAGCATCACTTTAAACTTACTTTAATTTGTACAAAGCGGATGTGGTCAAAATTAGGCTTGTTTTTAGTTTTAGTGTACAAAGCTGGCATATTATTGGATATCTAGTAGTGTCTCACATAGCTTCCTGGATTAAGGGTTATGGAATCTATACCTTCAAGAGGAAAAGGGAACAAAATTGGGGGGGGGGGGGCTGTTAATTAATAATATGTCGGTTTTGAAGGTTAAAAATAAATAGTGCTACTGAGTTGAGAAAAAAAGACCCATTTCCCCAAAATAAAACTTTAGAAAATGCTATTCATTGTCCTTAGAGTGAAATCGTGTATGTTTTCCCTACATTTTTCCCGTGCTGAATATAGGCCTTAACCTACCCAGGTGATGCAAGCAATTTAATCGTAACATAATTCATAACTGTTTAGTTCGAATGTAACAAGTACTTACATTTTTTGGTCAGAAACATTACATATTCAAGATGTTAAAAGGATGAAAAGAGCATATCAAATGAGTTTCTGAATTTGCGACGTGCATATTACTTACATCGGACGTATCAAACATCCGAACATTGAATACTAATCTGTACACAACACATTTCTAAATATTTTTTTTTTGATATTGTATACTTTGGAATCGTATCAAGTTTGATTTGCAGAAATTTTTCTAAAATGCAGAATTAAATCGAAAGGATAAAATCATTTCAGATTTG